AACGATATAGTAATATGCTTACATGTTGCTTGTAAATCCTTGGTGCTGTATCATTTTGGCTTCCAGGCCTATGTCTTTGCATGTGTGAGATTAAAACCTGGCTGAATGAATGAATGGTTAAAAACAGTGTTCCTTCCCACTACCATTAGGCAGCTGCTAAAAAGATTCCCCTGGAAGAATAGGACAGCTGATTCTGAAAAAGTTGCCTATTCTTACCTTGCAAGCTTTTGTGTTTAAGCTGGTATGCTTAAAGATTTATTAATACTCCCTAACAGAGTTCAAAGTATCTCAGCCTAAAGTGCAGCAATATTGGTATGACTACAGTTGTTGCATTGCAAGATGTAAGTGCAGGGTGTTTTTTTGCTCCCACAGAAATTTCAGCTCAGTTCAAGGAGCAGTCTTCACCTGCGAGAAAAGACACTGCGGTTTCTCCAGGGTGCCCCCCCTCATCCAGCAGCCACCATTCCTCAGAGCTCCCCCTGCCAGTGTCCATGAGCCAGACAACCTCTGGTAATCCTGTCCCACCGGGCAGGCTGGAAGACTTCTTGGAGAGCAGTACCGGCCTCCCCTTGCTGACCGCCAGCCCTGATGGAACTGAGCCTTTGTCCCTCATTGACCTCTACAGTGAAATGCTAAGCAGTTCGGCCATCCTGGACCACCCATCTTCACCTATGGACACATCAGAATTGCACTTTGCCCCTGAGCCTTCTGGAGGACCAAGCCTGGACCTGGCTGAGGCCAACCTGGACAGTATGGATTGGTTGGAGCTGTCAGGAGGTCCAGTGATGAGCCTCACTCCCCTCAGTACTGCAACGCCTAGCCTCTTCTCCACAGACTTTCTGGATGGACATGATCTGCAGCTGCACTGGGATTCTTGCTTATAAGTCTTGAGTGTGCAGAAGAGCTTTCCAGGTGTGTGTAGAATATGGGTTGGAGCTTAAGTCAAAGTTGCATCTGAAGAAAACTCTTCACCACCATTTTGACCAGCTTTTGTGAAGATAAAGCCAAGAGTAAGTACCAGGGAGTCTTCTGAAGGAAGATTCAACCTTAGGCAAGCGACTACCTTTCTCATGACCAGTGGCGGCATGAGACATAGCCCTTTCCTCAAACCATCAGTGGCAGCAAGACTTGTAATGGTATGTTGGAGGCTTTCAGCATGGAGTACTTCTCTTCCAAAGTGAGCCAACTGTCGGGCTTAGTTCAAGGCAATTCAGAGAAACTGGACCTTTCTACTCAAATCTGTCTAGTTAGGAAGTTCTACCAAAAAAGTGGGAAAAATTAATCTGGACATGTTTCAAAATATTCCTAGACATAGGGCACGGAGGATCTGGATAAATGCAGAATTGGGGTTCTGTTAGCTGCAGTTATATGCTGGACACCCTCAGCAAAGTTGTAGGTGCTTTCTGGCTAGCAAAAACTTAAAGCTCAAGTTATGTGCCAGAGTTTAGCTCGGATGCACTTTCCCTTGGCTTCTTGCCGATTCCTGCATGCAGTCCTTATTCCTGGCTTGGACCAGCTAAAAAAAGACAGGTGACTACCTTGATTCTAGTATCTCACCTGGCTAGAATTGTTTTTCTGAGCATTGAGCTGGCCATGAATCAAGACAGCTGCATCAGGGATGTATTTGCAGCCTCCCAGGATTACTTTGCTGTCTCCTCTTTTGTAGCCCTGCCCGTGAAACCTAGTTGCCTAGAACCTGCTGTTTTGAAGAGATGGAGCTGTAGGAAGTCTTGATTTTTGGGTGAATCAACGTCTTGGCAGCATGTGGGCAGTATACTGCTGTCCTGAGTGCTTTTGCTCTACATGAATTTCATTTCATCTGCTCCTCCCACAGCTTTCCTGCATCTGAAGTGTACTTTTCTCTGTTCTCAAGATTGGTGTCACAGGGAAGTCTGGAGTGAGGAGGTGGCTACACAGAAGGGGCTGTGGTGGCACTTCATGTTGGAGCAGCTCGGTTAATGGTAACTCATCTATAGGAAAGTTTTAATCCCAAAGGGCTTCAGAGAACATGAGTACCACCTGCTCTTGAGGCAGAAGCCTTTAGTGCTGGCTTGCCAAGGAGTTGCATGTTTCATTGCACAGAGGAAATTTTCTGTAGCCATAATCCCAGCTGCTGTGAAGGATGGTTCAAAACAACAGTCTTGCCTCTTGATACTTGGGTTTCATTTATAGATGGTAAAATTTCTGTATATAGCGCTGTAAAATTGTTTTGTTTTAGAAAGAAAGGGAGTTTATCCGCCTAGGTAGAAGGGGGAACTTTGTTTTTGCTCCTCTTCCTCTGTGATAATCTGTTGGGGAGCTGCTATTTTAGCCTGTGGTTTGGGGCAGGGGGAGGACTTGATCCTCACACTGCCAGTTTTAGCCTTATTGCACATGTCACTCAAAGGAAGTCATGCTCCTATCATTCTTTCTCCCCCTTCCCCTGTAAAAAACGTGTAGTTATGCATCTGCTAGCACCGCCTTCCTTTCCACAGAGTGAGGGAATGGGTTGCGTTCTCTTGTTTCACAAGAGTCCCTTCACTTCTGTTTCCTTTTCACATTATGGAAACTGTAACATATCATATACCCCATTATGATAAACGGACTGGTCCTCAAGAGACTATTGCAGTTATGTGATTAGCTGTTGCCCTGAAATAGCCACTTGCATGTGAAGCTTATTTCATTCAGTTTTTATAAAAAAAATCATTGTTTTCTTTGTGGAAATCAGGTTGTTACAGTTGCTGAAGGTGTATCTTCCGTATTGTTTCTGGTACCTGCTACTGATAATATCAATCACTTGGTCTGTGGCTGATTTGGAAAGTTGATGCTAGACTTGTGATTGTTCACTGTGCAGAAGAATTGTGTATAGCAGCATATTTCGCTTTTGAAGGGTGTGAAAGCACCTGGGTTAGTAAAAGCTTTCTGTTTCTCTTGTCACACCAAGGGCCACCCGTGGATGGCTTCGGTTTCTGATAGTTATTGGTGAAGTCAGGGCACCTTTATCACCCGAATGGGCTTGTGTGGAAAGGTGGTATGAACAAGAACTGCCTGGCTTTGAAAAGAGAGAATGTTCTAGTCTAACTCTAGTGTACAATTATGACAAGACTGCAACAACTTTAACCAACCACTAATGTTCACCTAAAAGATGCCAGACATAGTTTGGGGCACTGCCTGTTGTAGGGATATTACTCTTTTATGAAATGGAAAAATAATGGGGAGTACACTAGAGTCAGTTTTTCCTAGTGTATCCGATAGTAGCTCTGCTTTTTAAAATGTATCCTCTAAATTCTTCTTTTATACCCAACACAGTAAAACAGGCACCTAAGGAGCCACCTCTAGTTTGAATGTACTTATTCTTCCGCTGATAACCACTACTTGTAATAACCTATATTTGATTAACACGCACACTTCCTTCCACTATGCATCAATTTAAAAGGTTATCAGCACCAGTGGGAAGCCGAGGCAGTGTTGTAGTATTGGACCTAGAGTGAACATGCAACTGGAAAAGGGTATGGAATGAGCAGATATTTGGGGAGAGAATGGATAAATCAAATTATTTTTTCAGTTACAGATATTTGAAAAATCCATTTTATTAAAAAAAATTGTGTTCTAATATCTTTGTACATCTCGTCTTTGGTCGTGACATTATAGATGCTACTCTGTGTGCCATGATAAAAATATAGCAAACACATTCAACACATGTGACAGAAGGAAGAGCGGATTCACACTGTTGCCATTGGCATACATTGTAGTTCACTTAACATGTTATTTGCTGCTGTCAGCATTGGTTGTTACTTGCTAGTTGTCCTACTCTTGGGACACTGCTGCTTTTCTTATTCCCTTGCTACTTTATCCTGCCCAACTCCCAGACAGAATATGCTAGAAGGCCAGGCTGTTAACAGCATGAGGAATAATCCACAAGGCAGATCATCCAGTTACTTAATATGCATTTTCTAGAGTCATTACCATGAAAACACCCATTCCTACTCTGTCCAGATTACTACTATTGTCATAGTTCAGGTTACAGACCAGAAATAAGGCTAAAGGCATAAAAATATGAAAGATCAATTCCAGTTCCCCTACAACTGTCACAAGATGTGCAATTTATTTATGAACCAAAATGACACAGAGCCTTGTTTCACTTCACAATTTGATTGTGCTCCCCAACCAGTGCTTTCATTATCCCTTCCCTTAAGATGAGCTGCCACCGTGCAGCTAGTTATGTGCTCTCATCCTACAGCCCCTGCTAGCCTTCTACTTAGAGCAGGGGCTGTAGTTCTCTCCCTGAGCCAGCTCAGTCCTGAATCGACTTTCTACATTTAAGATATGTCAAAATATACAGACATTTTTGGATAGAACTTACATCTTTTGGTTACTAGTTTTAAAAATAATGCTCCAGGTTAAAACATTTCATGGTGGGTCACAGCTGGATGGAATGAAAGGCATGGTAGTAATGGCATCTTACCATCTTACACAACACCTGAACGCCGTCTTGCTAACCAGCCAATCATTCCAGGCACTTTGTGGCAACACCAAAGCCACACATGCACTGTAGTGACTGGGGGGGAAAGTAGTCAGTAGTCACATTGTGTCTCTCTTACGTCGCTGACTGCTTTACACATTATATCTATGTAAGAAAATAAAAGTTTGCCATCAGAGTGAAATGGGTCTCAGAGAAGACTGCCAGCCACCAGTTTCTCCTCTTGGACAGAAGGGAATGCAACAGCAAAGCTGGGTCTCCCTCAGACTCACATTACACTTCCCTCACTTATGATACCTTTGTCGCCAATGCCATTGCCTCTCCTTACCTTTCACCCAGACCTTCAGCCGTCACCTCAAGCACTTGGCCTGAGTGGATACAGTAGGTGCATGCATGCTCTGCACAGTTAGTGACACACCATGGAGAAGGGATGTTCGGCAGCCACTTTCAGCAGCAAAGGGCCACCCCTGCGCTCTTCAATGTGCTCCTGCCCATTTGCTAGAGCAAGCTGCTACCAAGTGAGAGCAGCTTGCTCATCTTGCAACTAACAAAATACTGAAAGCACACATGGTTCTTTACAGTGTACAATGCATGAAGGGGCAACAGGCTGGTGGGGGGACAAAAGGGACATATTCCAAATATATCATACAAGAAGTCCAAAAAGGAGGCGGAGCAAGAAGTCATCCATCAATGTCCCAACTAAAAAGGTGGTGTTTTACAAGCATGTCCTGAACTCCTTCCTTCAATGGTTTCTTCTCCTTCTCCTACAAAATATAAGAACGCTAAGGTTACTCAAACACATGGAGTAGCTGTTGGTAATGTGGACAAGTGTAAAAGCCAGGCTACTGAAGAAGAAAGTGTTGCAGCCTGGAATAGTTCTGCAAATGGAGATGGGGAAACTTGTTGTTGTGTGTACAACCATTATGGCTTATGGAGATTCGTAGGACAGGGTTTCTCAAACGTTTTCAACTCACAACCCCATTCTGAGATATTTTTACATGACCCCAGGTATATGAAACAGGTATAAAAATCAAACATTTACTGATAATAAATCAACATTTTCAAGACTTGCTAAACAGGCTGATTTTCCTTTTTGTGCAGTACAGTTGAAGCATTTTCTGCAGAGCCTAAAAGAAACATTAAACACATTTTTTTTACTCCAATGTTGAGCTAAGGGACAAGGACCCACAATTTAAGAGGCAAAGCTCTAAGAGAACGCGATCATAGTTTTTTTTTTCTTGGTAACATTTATTTGGTGGTGGTGAGGCTCTGACTTCCTCTGAGGCTGAGAGAGGGTGATGTGATCAAGCTGGGTTTCCATGTTTGTGCCCCAGTTTCCCAAAGTCCTAATCATACTCAAACCACTACATCACATTGGCTCTTATGGGAGGAAATAGCCCAACCCTATATGAGGATTAATAGAAAAGAGAAGAAACTGAAGGTTGTTGAGGGATAGGTAGTGAAATCTAGCTTCTGCCGCAAGGATACATACTCACCTCTCTTTTTACAGGGAGCTCCCAGTCTTGAGAGAGGCTGAATGCAAATTTACTGAGGACTCTGTAGGAGAATATAATAGGAGAGATTACAAGAAGAATTGTATACACAGAATAGTCAAAGCAATCTAACTGTGCCATCAAGAAAACTTGCATTGTACATTTCTCATATATTCATACTAATTATGTTTTATCCTAAAATGTCCTTGCAGCAAACAGTATTTTGCAAATTATTTTGCTGCTACAACTTAAGTTCACAAAGCATTTGGGCAGTTATAAAATTGGTGTGTCCACTTGGGATGTCTATAATGGAGAAGCATGATGTGAAACATTGAGGGAAAGGAAAGAATACATGTTTTGAGAACAAAAGCAATGGAGAAAACAGACAAAGAGTTCAGGTTAGCTTGGAGACAAGAAGGTTTGGAGAGAACATGATAGCCATGTGTAAATATTTGGAAGGATGTCAAATTGAGGAGACAACATGTTTTGTTTGTTGAACACATGGGGCGATGGATTCAGGTTGCAAAAAAAAAGAGTCCACCTAAGCATTAATAATAATAATAATAATAATAATAATAATAATAATAATAATAATAATGTATACCTTGCTTTATCTCCCCAAAGGGGGCTCAAACTTCCTGATGGTAGAATGTATTTTTGACAGTATAGTTATAGGTTTTGCAGAAGCTGCCACTTCTTCCCAGATGCTTCCAGGCATTTCTTGAATGGGAGCTGAAAAGCCATCGTGCCTCCCAAGTTTCTCACCTGCTGTTCCCTCAGTCAGGATAAGGATGTTGAAGAAGTACTAAGTGCTTCCTTCATTAATATCCTCCACACACTGGTGTAAAGGGTTAATGATGGTACAAATCACCAATGGGATGCCTACCTCTGATTCTTGTCTGTATCAAATACCAGATTCCTTGGAAGATATTTGAGGAAATTTTAGGCTTGCAGGATTTACTATACTGTGGTTCAAAGAGACATGCTTAGAATGAAGGAGTTTTATACAGGGGTTTTTGCTTTCAGTTACAGAATGGAGAAGAGCTCTCTATCACCACACACAAAAATACACTTTTGATTTACCCCAAGCTTGCTTAATTTCAGCAATATGATATAAAATGCTTGTGTGTTGTGTGTGTGATTTTCTTGTTACTAATGGGAGCCAAATCTTTGCCAACCTACTGCAAATCACTCAAGAGTTATATTAGTTAACCCAGATCTGCTTCTATCTTGAACCAACAGAATACACCCAACACTGTCTCGAGCACAGATGCAGCTAGGGAGAAGCCATGTGGTTTTCTAAATGAAAGATAATACCCCTAGGACTCTGCATGTAATTAATCCAAACCTTCTTGTCACATTTAATTAAATTATACACAGCTAAAGAGACAAAGCAACAGGTGGAGAAAGAAAACCGTTTCCAGGTAACTTGCAGATTCTAGACAAGCTAACATGAAGCAAATACAATAACGTATCCATGTATAGAATAGAAGACAGACAAAGAAAAAATAGTGTGGACTAGGACTGAGAAAAGGGCAGAACTGGGAAACTGATTTCTAGGTTAAATATTACAAAAGCAATCTTTTTTCCTTCTAACTGAATCTCACATAAATTGACTCCTCTGTAGCTCCTTTCTATGCATATCTCCCACTATGAAACTTAAGTCAATTCATACTTCAGTTTTCTTATGTTTCCCCATCCTAGCACAGAAAGTTGTGAGAAGTCCCATTACCTTCACAGCTTCCCCTTTTCTGTCGGGTGTTCCAAGGTGGGCTGCAGAATGGCCGAAAGGCAAGGGGAAGCTGCGCATTACATTAGATAACATTTTTTTTTAGCAATGCGCATCTTTGATATTGAGGTGAACATTACAACCGATGGTGCATTATAATTGGATGCCGTTACTTCCATTTTTTAAGAGTCTGGAGCTAGGATAGACATCATAATTTGCTGCTCACTGGAGGGAAGGATATTAGAGGCAAAGATAAAGTACTTTGGCCACATAATGAGAAGACAGGAAAGCTTGGAGAAGACCATGATGCTGGAGAAAATTGAAGGAAAAAAGAAGAGGGTCCGACCAAGGGCAAGGTGGATGGATGTTATCCTTGAAGTAACTGGCTTGACTTTGAAGGAGCTGGGGGTGGCCATGGTTGACAAGGAGCTCTGGCTTGGGCTGGTCCATGAAGTCACAAAGAGTCGTAAGCAACAGAACGAATAAACAGCAACAAAGCCAGAGACAAAACTCATCCTATTGTGCAGAGAAAGTGCAGTTGATTTCATAACAATGCATTGCATTGCTTCTCCAAAACACACATCCTTCACAAAGTATGCTCTACACCAGGCATGGGCAAACTCTGACCCTTTAGATGTCTTTGACTTCAACTTTTTTAGGAATTGTGGGACTTGAAGTCCCAAACACCTGGAGGGCTGAAGTTTGCCCATGCCTGCTCTTCGCAACTTCCCTACCCTCTCTCTACCAGTATGATACTGTCACTTTCATTAATTTGGGATGAACTGTAGTTTCCCAAAGGCAGAATATGACAATGTAGCAAAATGGAGGAGTGAAAGCTTCCACGTACCTGAGTTCACACTTGATCTGCACCCAGCCTGGACTGCGCAGAAATGACCAGGGATGGAACCATTTCTCCACGGTCTGCAGGCTGGAGCACAACACCTCAAGCCACAAATGCAGGACTTGTTCACTGAAAAATAAAGGGAAAGTTACTACCTCACAGGTAGGTTGTTTTATTACTAGCACACAGAGCAACTCAAGGTGATATTAAAGATGTAATGTAGCTTTAACGTGGCAAAGGGCATAAAGTAATGTAGGGCATCTGAAGACTGGCATTTGCTGGGCCTCTGAAGAAGCATGATCCCTTGATGCTCTGCTAACAAAAGTAGCTTTGAAACAAACAGAATGAGGTGACCTACTTCAGTCCAACACAGATGAGGGAACGGAGCTTCACATCCATCTGAGCATGTGCAGCATCATGTGACATGTTCACAGACTGTACTGCCTGCCAGAGAAAGAAAGTAAATAATTAAAGGGGCCATTTTTTTTTTCATTTGAAGACAGAAAAGGTAGGGTATGCTAACTATATTTCATACATAGTGTTTGGCCTCTAGAGCAGTGGTTCTCAACCTGTGGGTCCCCAGGTGTTTTGGCCTACAACTCTCAGAAACCCTAACAGCTGGTAAACTGGCTAGGATTTCTGGGAGTTGTAGGCCAAAAACATCTGGGGACCCCAGGTTGAGAACCACTGCTCTAGAGGCAAGAGCAAGACTCTTCATAGCATCAAAGGAAGAGATTCAAGGCAGACTGAACTGTCTGTCCCCTCACAAACCCTCTCAAGGATGTTTCTGTGAACTAGAAGAAAGTACTTACTCGATAAAGCAGTTCTTCTGGAGTCAGCACTTTCCCATCTTCATCCAACCTACAACAATGAAGTAAAGGGTCCAGTTTGGTCAAGGGACACATCTTTGCCTTGCCCAGTACCATTTCAAAATAGAAATAACTGTCCACCAAACCCATTTCAGCAGTTGGGGAACTTGTGTCCTTTTGAGAGTGACTTTAAATATGGGAGCTTATTTTAATATGGAGTCTCTGTAGCTGGCAATAATTACCCATTGCTACATTAATAATGTGCCTAACTGGGGAAAGCCAACATCAAGAAACACCACAAGTAAAATTAACAGACAGGTGAATACTGGTATAAAGGAAGGAACTTTACCTGTAAGTCTTGCAGAGCACAAGACGGGAATACACAGAGTCAAAGTCTCGCTCCACCTCACGCCCGGCAGCCTAGACAAGAATATAGATAAACTCTGATCTATATGTTCTTGCTTCTATCTGTCCAACAGGTAGCCCAATCATGCAAGCTGTTCTCCACTCCAACCCTATTGATTTCCAACAATCCAGATGAGAAAGTGACACCTAGCATTTCTAGGACCTCTTCATACCAGCTTTTTTGCCCTGTTTGGCCACTTTGATGCATGACAAGAACAGGGCCTGCCGTGCACCATCACATGATGCATGGCAAGCCCCATCCACATTCTTCCCAAAGTGGAAGGGAAGCGCCGAAAGGTGCTCTCTCTTCTACTACAGGGAGGAAAGTGTAGTTGGGTAGCTCCAACGGAGCTAACTGCACTTTCCTTCCCTTTTGGCCATGTGATGGCAGAAAGGGTAGCGGGGCAACTTGCGTGATGCCCTTTCTGCTAACTGATGGGGGAGGGAAAGGGTTCCAAAGTATCCTTTCCCGTCCCATTGTGTGATGAGGGAGGGGCACATGGGGCACCATGAGCCACCCCACATGCCTTCCTTTTTGCTGACAATTGCTGGCACAACGGCATGGTCCGAAAAAGCCATGTGAAGAGGTCCCTAGTCTTGGTTAAATTGGCTGGATGATGGACTTAGCTTCTTCCTTTGTCAGAGGGTCACCATGAAGATCCCCCCCCCCCCATAGGCATCTCTTGACTCTGCAGCTGTCCAGAGCACTAGAAGGGATGATGATTCCAGGCCATTGCCAGATTTCTTGAATACGTGCCATTTTGTTCCCAAAGATTCTGCAGGCAGCAAATGTCTTTCTTACCTCTTCAATGAAGAGCCAGGGGTGGCAGGCCCCGCCCAGCAAGGATGGCCTTTTCAGCCCATGTTCAAATATAGCCTTGAGGGCTGGAGACAGTGTCCCCCGAACCAAGTCTGTGATGCCTTCAGTGACGGAGTCATCTCCAGCAATGGAATACTGAAAAGAACATAGATTGGAGACTCTGGTGACACATCCAACAGAATATAAGAAGGTAAAGGACCTTCAAGGCACCAGATTCTGCTTGATCATGGAAGCCAAATAGGGTTAGCCCTTGTTAGTAGTTGGATAGGAGACCACCAATGACTACTAGTAAAGGTAGTCATTGGTGTCTAGTCGTGTCCGATTTTAGGGGGTGGTGCTCATTTCCATTTCTAAGCTGAAGAGCCAGCATTCTCTGTAGAGTGCATGGAGCGCCATCAGACCAGGTACTGTAGGCTATATTTCATAGGAAGGAACTGACCAAGCCAGATCTGAATATTGCCTAAGAAAAACCTATAAAATTATGGTATCGCTATACGTCGACAAACAACTTGAAGGCACGTGCATACACAGAAGCTGATCTATGTGATGCTATTTGCAGATGATGGCCAAGGTCCTGCACTGAGAAGCGTATGTCCATATTGTAGGCATGCCACCAGAGCTTCATCCCAGGAATCTACCCATCCTTGTACAATTAGACTTGCATGGACCTTCTGGGCACAATGAGGAGTAGGGATAAATTTTCCTGTATCTGGATGTGCTGCAGAGACCTCCAGAAGTCCTTGTAAGGTCCTTGCAGTGCATCCAGCTACATTCATCCCACTGTCCGGCAGCATGTCAATGACCATGTAGTGGAGGGAGGCTGTACACAAGGAAGGATCTACAAGGGATTTTGGCTGTTAGAGTGATTAGAACAGAATTCCAAACCTCTGCAACAATAAAAAATATTGAGTTAAAAAGGTGCAAGTCTGACTTACTACCACTCTAATGGAAAAACAGGATGCCAGGCAATATTTTACCTGTCTGCCTTGTTGCTTTATGAGTGGATGCATATGGACCTGTAGAACCCTTATTAATAAAGAATGAACCAACTCACAAATTTGAATTCCTACAGTCATTGAATCACATCCCAAAATATATGTTCCTATTGTTCCTCTTTTCACTCTCTCACCCAGAAATGGTTGCTTACAAGCTATATTTTTATAAAGGATACGGGAAGAGCTAATTTAAGAGAAAATTTAATTAGTTATAGATTAACCGACTGAGTATATCTGTCACTTTATTTCTGTTTCTCTATACCCATTTTTACACATCCTTTGTAGACACACAGCTGGGGAACACCACAACCTGGGTGGTAAACAGTAAGGAAACAGAGGGAGATCCAGAATCCCAACATGAGAGATGCATAGATAAAGAACTAATTATACCTCTTTGCTTCGTTCATCCAGGACCTCTACAAATTTTGCAGGAAACCAACCTACAAGGATCAGGAGAAGAATGAATGAAAACCTAGTCAGGTCACAAACCGTAAACCAAAAGAACGGAATTTGAAGTATTAACTCTGAAGGGTAGTCCCTTCAGAGTTAATATTGTTGCTAAAAATATTATTTTGGGAAGTACACAGTGTTAAGACTCTCTTGTTCAACCCCCATCAAGGGCCAGTAGGACTCACCTCTGAGGCCATTCAGCTCTCCCACCCAACAATGCTCATCCTTCTGGGAGATGATCTGTAAGAATGAAAATGAGTCACTGAGCCTTATCACAGAGAAAAAGAGCAAATGAGAAGAAAGATCCTGCTCAAGCAGTACCTGACTAATATTTACCTTTTTTTACTGTCATACCCACGGAAGAGTCTGTATTTGTCTTGGGCTCAGGAGAGAAGCTATAGACCACTGATTCATAGAACCCAAAGATCAAAAGGGGCTGAGGCATAGAGGGCTGACCTTTGCTCCCACCCATCTCTCTTGTGTATGTCCATGGATTAGGCTTCAGTAACACTCTACTTTTTAAAATTTGTGCAGCCTTCCCATATCTGCATTGTCTCCACTCATTTACTTTGATTTACTTAATTACATCTAGTTCTTCCTTCTAATCTCTCTTCACCTAATCTCTTACTTAGTTACACTCTTGATGACCAACTTTGTTTTACTCAGGTTTATCTTGTATGCTGTAGTGGTGAAACACCAAATTTGTTGTTCTTTATTCAATATCAAATATGTCCAAATCTCCTCTCAGTTCCTCTACCTGATACTACCTTTCTGTTAATCTTCATATCATACCGTGATGATATCATTCTTACGGAAGCCTAGTTCATCGTCATCGTGCCGCTCGAAATCCAGCAGGGCCTTGGCACGCCTCCGCTGGTTCCGGGAACAGGCCACATAGGTTTCATGGTCCCTCTGGTGGCTCTCCATGGTGTAGTCTGGAGTCAAGTCCTGGTTGGGTCGGGAAGAGACATTCATGTAAGGCAGAAATAAGCAAGAGACAAGGGACTCTGTTAATTATATAGGCTGTCTCATTTCTCCTTCTATAACACATCACAACCTCATTCTACTACAAGTTATACTAATGTAGCCATATCTCTGGCAGGAAGCAGAATTTGCCAGCTGGATACCCCCTCACTCACTATGCTGCAGCTCTTGGGATCCACACACTGAAAATGTTGCGCCACTTGAAGGATGGCCTCTCGCAAGTCTGCAACCAGCTCCGTTTGCTTAATATTCTTGGCCTTCAGAGCCTCCATATCGTCTTCTCCTAAAGGAAGGAGAAACACTCTTAAAAAGAGCAAGGCAATAATCATGTTCCCCTCTAAGTGTTCAGCAGCTGGCATCCAAAGTCAAAATACGTTTTCCCTATAAAGAAGTTCCATTTTGCTATAACTAAGCAGCAACTGAAAGACTTCCTTCCTTAAATTTGGCAAACTTGAGAGTGGTCCAGGTGCTTCATACAGCTATGGAGGCTCCACATTCACCCTGCCAGCTCTTTTGCGGGATCTAATGCCCTGGCAAAAGGTGACAGGAACAGAAATGTGAGGCTGGAGGAGAATTCTACAATTACCATGTTCGGCAAAAAAGGATATGAATAGGCCCAGCAACAAATCAGGCCTAAACTCTCATTAGCAGTCAAGATGACCAAGCTGAAGCTCTTGCATTTTGTATGTATTAGGAGACAAGGTGGCTCACTGCTAGAAAAGGATAACAGTTGGCAAAAGAGGGAAAGTAGGGAAAAGAGGAAAACGGATAGACCGACTGTGAGGGATATCCCAGTTGGTATTTCCTCTTCAGTTGTTGAAGATGAGGGCTGGGAAAAACCTGATGGGGGTGTAATTTTGGCTTTTGGAGGTGAGGGTGCTGTTATTATTCCTTTGTCAACTCAACTATAAACACCCTATAAATGAGAGGTCTCCAAGTGCAAGGGTCAACAATTGCCCTGCTCAGATCTTGCATACTCAGGGCATTATGATTGAGTCTGTCCACCCGTAATGCAGTTTTCCTCTTTTCCCTACTTTGGGAGGAAGAGGTATGCAACAGTAATTCACAGATAGTTTCCAAAAAAGCACAGAATAGTTGAAGCAGATGAGGAAACAAGACTGCCCTTTTCTCAGTTTCCCACTGATACTTGATTGTGATTCACTAACTTTTCTCTCTGAACCCTTAAGAAGGCAAAAACAAGGCCTCCTTCTAAGACCATGCTACTGAAAATAGTGGTTCCAGGACTGGAGCAATCTACAGGCCAGCAGCTGCTAGTTTGAAAGAAAGAAATAGTTGGAGCAATGAAATAAATAGTTGTAGCAATGTGCATATGGTAAATAAGATACATGTCCCTGGCATGTTAAATGGTGTATTTTAATATTGAGATAAATATTTTTAATGTTTTATGTATGCGTATATGAATTCTTGTTCCGGCATTGAATGTTGGCCGTATATATGCTGTCCTCTGCCCTGAGTCCCCTTTGGGGTGAGAAGGGCAGAATATATATTTTTAAATAAATAAATGTTAGTAAAATAATACATCTCTCACCACAAATAACATGAGAACTATTTAGGAATGTTGTGACAGCCTCTGACAATACCTCAGATGAACACTGTTCTGATTTCGTGAGAAAAACAACTTCTGTGCTGCATTGCATTATTTATATTTCTAAAGGTTACTACAAACATTTGACTCAAAGACAGATCTGTTTATGCACCTTGAGGATCAGTAGGTTGCTTGGCACAACTATCTTTAGAGCAAGATCATTCAGGATATATATAGTAGATATACAGCAAGTTTTATTTTGTATGCATGCCCTTGTTACGTTTTCCAACATTCTCCCCGTCATAGGAACCCTTTGATCCTTACCAAAAAGTAGTGAGGTAATGCCAGATTTCCTACGCTGTGTTCTGCGTCGTACAATCTAAAGAAGAGGAGCAAGTCACAACAAAAAAGGATATTATTTAAAAATCTATATTGCAGCATAAAAAGGGGGAGGAACAGGAAAGCAACAGAATCTAGAAATACCTTTAACATTTAGATTTTAGCATAGATTTTCATAGATACCAAACCACTTCCTCAGATGAAATGACTGAGGAAATTGACTGATACCCATAAACACCCATGCTAAAATATAAATCAGTTGATCTTAAAGATGTGGCTAATTCTATTTTAACCTCCTCCCCCCCTTTTTAATTTGTCCTTAAATATGTGTTATGTATTTTCAGCATCTTCTTTGAAAAGTGGATGAATTCAAAGGAGATTTAAAAGAGTCAAGTAGAGAATTCTTATCCAAGGTTCATAATACTGTTTTCTCTTGAGGTCACTGGTCCATTTTAAAAGCTGAAGCCTTGAGGGCATATTATTTCAGCATTCCTGATGGCAGTTTTGTGTATGTGCATTCTCAAACACCAGAAAGACCATATTTCATTTTTTAAACTCAACACTTAACCAAGCATTCAAAGCAATAAATGTATTCAAAGTGCATTGAGGACTACAAGTTTTGGAAGAGTATCCAAGGCTTATATATGGCTATTAGCCACAACAGCTATTTTTCTACTCCACACCCCTCCTTTCCCAAGTCTCCACTTTCTTGGGCACATGACCAAAGAAAGGTTGCCCACCATCCCACTGCTTCCTTATGCCCAGAACAAGTCCTAGTTTCTGTGAGATTTTTGTGACTTTTTACATCATTTTCATCTAATTTTGTGTAGTTAATTAACTTGGTGAGAGTGGTCTAGTCACAATTTGTGTTCTGGGCAGGGTTTGTAAGTCTTACAGAAAATTTTCATGATCTGCATTTATTTTGTGATTGTTGTTGTTGTTGTTATATTAATTTTACTGAAAATAATAATCATGAAATGAGGCTGTTAAAGAAATGATTTGCACCAGAAACCAAATATGTAAGATATGCTACTAAAAAAAGAAATATTAGACAAACAAGAAAGGTACAACCCAGGGCCGGGCTTTAGCACAGCAGATTAACTGCCAGCTGCAGTAAATCTTGACAATTGAAAGGTTGACAGTTTGAAGCTCATGTTGGGGTGAGCTCCTGGCCTTTAGCCTAGCTTCTGCCTACCTAGCAGTTCGAAAGCAAATGAGGGTAGATAAATAGGTACTGCTTTAAAGTAGGGAGGTATTTAAGGTACCCATAAGAAAATGCCAGAAAAAATGCTGGCCATTCGATCTAGGAAGCAGTTTACGAACAAAGCTCTTTGGCAGGGAAAGTGGAGCGACAGTACTCCCCCCCCACTTCCATGGCCGGAACCGAGCACAAGCCTCCAAGATACCAAAGATGAGAAAGACTATATATACCTCTATCTATGTACCTATCTATCTGTATAACATCACTGAATGTTTATCGGATATGTGGTCTGTGATCTGCCCTGAGTCTTCTTCGGGATGAGATGCGTGGAATATAAATAAACCCAGGAAAATGCATGAGAAAGACAATCTTTTCAATGTATGATACCTTTGACAGGTTGACAGCAGCACCAGGACTTAATAGCTGCCCTTGGTCTGCAATGAGGTAAGCAAGGTGCTTGCAGCGCTGAGTCTCCACTGCCACATCTGTCAGCGACCCAGCAATCCGCATGGCTTCCTGCAGGAGCACATCTGGATCTTCAATCTGAGAGGGGATGTCTGAGAGCGTGTTGAAGATGGATGCAGAGTTCTCTGACTGGATCAGTTCATCTTCCTGTTTTAATATGGATAGGTCGTTCTACAAGTTTATAGTCACTCATGATTTAGAATACTTTTGCACTTCTTTTGGTCTTGACAACTGTAGCGTTCTCTTAATCTCAATAGGGCAAATAATTCAAATATCAATGTTTGCTGCAATGTTTTCTTTTTTGCTCTGGCCTTCACTTTTATCCTGACTGTTTCATAATCCTGCAGCAAACCTTAGTTGGCATTATCCATATTTTCCCTCTAATGCTCATCTTCTTACAATTTAAAAAAAAAACCAAAACTACTAAATGGTAGATCCACTCATCTTGAATGACATTTCCAGTGAAAAGTATAATCATGGAGTCTTTAAAAAATAAAATCTTGACAGAACATAGGAGAAAACTTCTAAAAGCTCCCATCGCAGTATCAACACCAAAATGTCTCATTTTCCCCTAACTACATATAAAGCACTGCCTCAATACTACATGCAATACTGATCACTTCTGAGTGGAATACTGTAGCCATTTGTACAGAGTACTATACAGAGCTTTAGACATCCACATATACATGAGTTATTCAAGAGAAAATACAGCTCTAGGACTGCAGTTCTGTATGCATGCATCAATATCTCATGGCATTTAATAGTACTGTCAACTGATTGAACGATCTGGAGAGTATGCGATCTGTCAATATATGGAATCAATATGTTCGATATAGAAATCAACAACATAGGGCATATTTCTTTGACTCTTATGAAAACTGCTGCTAGGAAGCCAGTCATCAATATCTGCATACAGTTTATTGGTTTTGTGGTGCTGTTCAAACATTTAGTCAATTTTAAAAAAGAATATATGATTTAACCACCCTAATCTATATGCTATTTTATAAAATTGAACAGAGGTAAATAAGGCAACAGGAATGAGAGATGCCACAGCAGGAATAACATGGCCACACGTACTGAGAGAGCACACACTGTATTTTTTTATTTTTCATTCCTGAAATACTGCTGTCTGTCCCCCTAAACACCTCTACTCAGATTCACGGGAAATAGCACAACTCGTGTTATGCCCAGAAAAGTGGTAGCTGAGGAATGTTGCTTACCTTCATGCTAAGCATGCCCAGAGTGACCTGGAAGAGAACTATGGAACCCTGGTAGAAAAAAAGGTCCCAGATGCGTAGCAACAGCTTGATATGCACAACGCTAGCAAAGGAGGTGAGGAACCAGTGCAGGGTGATCAGGGACAGCTCTGTGGATGGAGACAAAGGGGGACGCGAACAGTTTCAGTTTAGCAGTTATCAGCAGGAGGGACAAAAAATTACCCCATGTCAGCTCTGTATTATGCCCCTTTGCATTCCACACATAAGCAAAGAACACTCACAATGAGGTCTTGTAAATTAGCTTCCCGTCTCACAATCACAGTTCAGAAATCTAAACAAAAACTGTGTTCCCCCCCCCCTCTTTTCCTGCCACACAGTATTGCCAGCAGGATATCATTAATTCTCACACTTTAAATTAGAGTGGCAAAGTACAATCTGCTTGCACCCATTAAAAAATAACAAAACAATGAATGCCCCCATCTAAAAGGTGCAGAGAAATAAATTATCTCTGGTTTTGAAGAAAAGTCTTATGGTTTTGAAAAGAAGGCCTCCTGGTCAGGGAGTGAGAGGAAGCCTAAAAGCCGTAGCTTCATGTTTTGGGGCAAAGAAACTTGTCAGGATATAGGCAGATGTGCAGAAGAGGACATGGGTAGTTGTGGGTGCCTGAAATGTTATGGGATTTGAATACAGCGACCAGACTTCTGAAAATTTCCCTGGCATCTAAAAGGAAGTTATTTTAATTATCTGCTTATAACCAGAGCATAAATGAGGAAGCAGGCGCTACAAGGGTCATAAAGTGTTAGCCATTTTCAATATATAGCTTTAAAGCAGTGTTTCTCAACCTGGGGGTTGAGACCCTCGGGGTGGTCATGAGGGGGTGTCAGAGGGGTTGCCAAAGACAATCAGAAAACACAGTATTTTCTGTTGGTCATGGGGGTTCTGTGTGGAATTTTGGCCCAATTCTATCATTGGTGGGGTTCAGAATGCTCTTTGATTGTAGGTGAACTACAAGTCCCAGCAACTACAACTCCCAAATGTCAAGATCTATTTTCCCCAAACTCCACCAGTGTTCATATTTGAGTATTTGTGCCACCTTAGTTCCAGATCCATGATTGTGTCCATAGTGCTCTCTGGATGTCTGTGAACTACAACTCCAAAACTCAGGGTCAATGCCCACCAAACCCTTCCAGTATTTTCTGTTGGACATGGGAGTTCTGAGTGCCAAGATTGGTTCAATTCTATCATTGGTGGAATTCAGTATGCTCTTTGATTGCAAGTTAACTATCAATCATAGAATCATAGAATCAAAGAGTTGGAAGAGACCTCATGGGCCATCCAGTCTAACCCCCTGCCAAGAACCAGGAATATTCCCAGCAACGTCAACTCCCAAATGAGGAAATCAACCCCCCCCCCCCCCCCCCACAACCCCACCAGTATTCAAATTTGAGCATATCGAGGATTGGTGCTATATTTGGTCCAGTGAATGAAAATACATCCTGTACATCAGATATTTACATTATGAATCGTAACAGTAGCAAAATTACAGTTATGAAGTAGCAACGAAAATAATTTTATGGTGACCTCCATGAGGAACTGTATTAAGGGGTTGCAGCATTAGGAAGGTTGAAAACCACTGCTTTAAAGCAAATCAGATTCCTCAGGCATGGGCAAACTTACCAGTTGTTAGGAAGTGTGGGAGTTGAAGACCAAAAATTTGGACGGCCGAAGTTTGCCCATGCCTAAGCCATTTAATGTCTGTCTCTCCAGGTTCTATTCTCTATTGTATTATCTGCCATGATAAAAAGGTAACAACAAATACTGCCTTCTTTTTGTGGTTGTTTTCACTATTCTTACAGCTCTTTAGACTTTATTTGACATGTTGATTTTGGGATTTGGGAGCTTCAATCCAAAAAACCCAAAATGCTCTGAAGGTGCAAATGTAATAAAATCCATTTGGGCCTTTCTGGAATATTATTACAATCCACTCAAAACCCTGCAAATGACAAACCAACCAAAACATCCTATTACCAATGTCATGTTCCTGAAGAAGTTTGTCCAATCGTGGCAGGTACTGTACAATGAGATGTCGCAAGACACGCTGGTCTGTCTGCACACCCATCAGAGTGGTGCTGAAGTAAGAGGCTGGTACCAGGTCCTCAATGATGGCACACATCATCCAGAAGGCATCTTCTTCTTCCAGGAAGAGAAGCAAGGAAGCCACTACCTATCAAAGGAGGGACAAGAAGGACTGAAAGCAAGCTGCAGAGCAAGATTAAACTAGAATGAGTAGTATGTAGTTGAGTAATTCCTATTGTGGCCAAAAAAAGACATAATTGGAATGCCTGTAAATCTGGGCTTTAAAATTTCCCTCAGAAGGTTTTATCCCTCTTGGAAACTCAATCATACAAACAATCAGTGGTTGTAGCATTACACTGGGATGCCAAAAACCTTTTATTTTGATATGTACTGGCATATTACTTGTGCAACTCCTGGTCACGCACTCTTCACGTATGCTACTGAAAACATTCTAAATGGTACTGGTGCAAACTAGGGTAAATTCACAAAATAAAACCAAGTTGCTGCTCTATTAAGTGATGTTTTTTTGGATGGTTTTCTCTATATTCATGCATACAAGTTCTGTGCAGGTGTACAACCCATACACATGAGCCACAGAGAGCACAGAGAACTCTGATTCTATTCCAAAATGTCAATAACCTTACAAGTAAAGGGGGAGTAGCTCAAGAGTCTTAGCTGAGCCATACCCAACTGGCTTGCCTTTGTTTTATTCCAAGGCAGAGTTGTTACAGAGATACTGCTGATCACCAAGAGGTTATATTTGAAATGAGTATACTTAGGGGAATGATTATTTTATAATACGTAATATTATTGGATTAATATAATTGGTTGTGCTGGGTTTTGTTTTTGACTCCTGCTACCTTCAATGTGAGATCTATTTTTAACATATTAGCATTACTAAAATAGTGACTTATATTTTTATATGCTTTTATGTTTGTATAGATTAGGGATTCATTTATCCCTTCATATTACATGTTTAATTGAATTAGTATAATTTTTTACTGTCAGTTTTTAAAAATTGTGATGTTTTTCACATTTTATTCATTTTTTTATATTTGTATCCCACTTTTGAAGGGGAAAGCAGAATACAAAGAAATTGTAACAATACATTTTTCACTTCCCTGATGAAAAACATATAGATATCTCACCATACAGATGACCATCAATGTTGGACAATTTTCAGATTATCCCAGTTCTCAGTTATTGTAGCTTAGGATGTAGAAAGCCATCAATGCAATAAACCACTTTATTTGTGTTCAAAAAGTCATCGTGTGAAATTGCTTCTGGTAGTAACCTCATGCACAGAATAACTTATATTGATTGATTTATTCTGAAATGTTATGAGTTCCTCCGAAAACATGCCAAATGCCACTGCAGTAAGAACAACAGTATAACATTGCCTTCTCCAAGTGAACTACTCTGCACACTCCCACTCCTGCTGTGGACATCTAGAGCCTAAGAAAAAAACAACACTTATTTACCATGCCAGTGCCTTGACAGTAGCCAATTTCTGGATACAACCAAGCCAGCCCACGTAATATTCTACGCAGTCGTGGCACACCAATGCTGTTCATGTTGGAGAAGCAGGCATTGCTGGGCATGGTGCGGAGTAGGTCTTTCTCTATCTATGAAACATCAAGAATAATAGAAAAGCAATTCAGATTCAATTAATGATGACTCTCCCCATCCTCCTTTCCCTTCTCTCAGGCCCTGCCTGCCCATATATTTTTGCCCCAATAAAGTAAGCCTGAAATTAGACTGAATTCCACCTCAGCCTGGAAGCCTTACAAACAAGATATAAACCTCCATTCATTCGCTAAAGCCTTCCCTTTAACCTGAAAGAAAGCTTCTCAAAGTAGAAGAGTTTGTAGCACATCTCTGATGGTACACAGAATAAAAATGCATAGATTAATACCAAGAGCATTAGTATATAATGCGAGAAATTACTCACTTGTTTGGCAGCAATTGTTTCATCATTTGAGCTGTTTTTTACAATTTCTCGGTAAGACATTTCTGAAATTCTCTTCTTCTGTAGAGCACCAGATAGTCGCATCCATAGCTAGGTAAAACATAGGAAATAGGTTAAAAGCAATGCACAAGATGTTTCCCATTATGGAATTTCCCACGCATGCTCTTGCTAGACATACCTAGGAGGGTAGTGGGTCAGAGGCCCTTCTCTCTGTTCCACCACTCTCACAGGTTAAAGCTTGCATGGTGCATAGATAAAGTTCTGCCTTTTTATTTTGGCAGGACTTTGTGAGCTGAGTCTTAAAGTGCAGAAGGACTTAATGTGCTGTTTGGATAACTTTAATAAGCTGCACTGAGTCCCAAATTAGAAGAAAGGTAGGATATTATATAAAAAATAGCAACAACACTAGAAGCATCTGACACCTTCAATACCCTGAAGTGCCTCACCTGTGGTCTCATGCTATGAGGAATGCCAGCCAACACCAAGGATCGTAGCTTATCTGAATGAGGAAGTGTGACTTCAATCTTATCCCAGGTGAGGTCCCCTACATCATGGTTGTGTGTGAACTCCAGGTGAGCTTGCCATTTCAGTCTGTGTTGTGGCTCTTCTGTCAGTGGGATTCCCAAGAGCTTGCTGGAGTTTGGCTCAGCACCATCTGTAGTAAAAGTCCAGATATTGAAGCATAGGATGACAAATGTATAGTCATAGATGCCTTCCACCTCTGCAAAAAAAAAAAAGCTCAGGCCTCTAAATAGCCGGATTTAATAATCCAGAGAGATAGTAAGCATGCCTTATGGAAGGTTTAGCAACTGTGTTCCGTCAGATGTTGGTGGATAGCAACTACCATGGTCTCTGACCATTGACTTTGTGGGATATAACTGCTGACAGCTGCAGTCCAACAACATCCAGAAGGCCAACTTTATCTATCCGCATCTCAGAGAACTTGGTGACAGCATATCTAACTAACAATTCTGATGCTACCAATTCACTTCATAACTGTTTTTAATGTGATAAATTGGGCTAAACAAAATGCAGTGCTGGGTCACATGCAGTCTTCAAGGCTTTTTAAATAGTCTTCAATCATCTCAGATTTCAGAGGCTGCTTCTTCAAAGCAGGGGAAGGAAGAAAGGTGCTTTGTCTTTCCTGGAAGACTTTAGGAACAATGACATAGCCATGAAATGGGCTACATCCTCTACGCCAGTGTTTAACATCAACATTTCAATACTAGAAGAATATTTCTAAACCCTTCTGCTTCCCCCACAGCACCATTTTGGAAGCCTGAACAATCTCCTGAAGAACTGGGGCAAAACTTGACCACTTAAACAGTTCGTATTAAGACACGAATAAATGAATCAATTTATATGCAAGTGGGAGAATAAGGTTTATTTGAATAAACCCCATTTTTGATTCACAGGAAATGCCACAGGATTCACCCATCAATAATAAATAATTATTAACAATTATTAAAATCACACATTGGTTACAGAATTCATAGTAGTAAATTCAGCCCATTAAAGGTTAAGATTCTGTGTAACAAAACAGAGCTCTGAGACTAATATTATAAAGAATATTTGTGGTTGGCATAGCTGGATCCATCATAGTTGTGCAAGTTTATTTTTTGGATATACCAATAGTTCCCAGTCAACTTAGGGGTTCTATCACTTATAGATTAAAACAGTAACTCTTCCAAGCTCTGCAGTTGGGTGGAATGTATATGACAGCACACACTGCTGGGTAACCTCAGGAAATGAATCTTTATCTAAAATCCTAAAATTTGATTCAAGATTCTCTGCAGGCTCCATTCCTGGCAGTGAGTTTCACATACCTACATACCTGACTTTAAAAGCACATCAGCATCTGATTGGGTTAATGCTTCGATAGTAAACCATTCCAGAGCAAATAGAGCAGGCAAACTAAGGCCCGGGGTCTGGATGAGACCCCCCTGGGTGCTTACCTCAGGCCCTCCTCACTTTGAAGGACACTGTGGCCCGCTGCATACTCATGATAAAAAGATGGGGGAGGAAGGTACATAGCAGCTGAAAGCCCACCAGAGCACAGCTGCTGTGTGTCCCGCCTTTCTCCCGACATAAGGATAAGGTGAGCAGCCCTGCCCTTATGCTGGAAGGACAACCTAAAATTCTGGATAATTTCAGTTAGAATTTCCACTGCTAGCACCAAACTTCTGATTCAGTATAAGGCCACAAAGCATATAAAATGCAAACTACATATATGAACAAGGAAGGACCTGATTTTCTCCTGGATGCATTTTAGAAGGAAAAGCTGATGTGTGTGTGTGTGTGTACATACATCCTCATAACTGATATTACATAATACATACTGTACTTGTCTTTCATATAATGTAAATAAATCTGGCACTAAATTCTTTCAGACTCAAAGAGCTTTCAAGACTCAACTTTAAACAAGGAAGGAATGATACTGTCAGGCCTTCACTTCTAAGTGAGAGCCTAAAGGTTTTCCGGTGACAAGTCCAACCACGTAAATTAAAAACTTGCCTTCTTTGTCTACTCGGAAACCAAATTCATCATATCGGAATTCAGGTTGCTCAACAGATTCTTCTTTCTAGAAAACAAAAGAACAGTTATTGTCTCTTGTCTGCCACTAGGTAGTACATCTGATGAATGCATTTTTTACACACTGCAGACACGTAAAATAAAAAAGGGAGCATTGTGAAGGGAGCGTAAAAGAAAGGCCAGTAAAAGGTTTTTTTTGTTTTGTTTTGCTTTGTTTTCTCCAATGCTCATTATTGCCATCTAAGAGATGTTGTTTGGCTGCTAATGTTATAGAATCATATAGTTGGAAGAGACCACATGGGCCATCTAGTCCAACCCCTTGCTATGCTATGGAAAAGAACAAAGTATCACCGACAGATGGTCTTCTGTCAGGGAAAGTTTGCAAGGAAGGAGCCTCCACCACATTCCAAGGTAGAGAGTTCCACTGTTGAACAGCTCATACAGTCAGGAATGTTCAGGTGGAATCTCCTTTCCAGTAATTTGAATCCATTACACTGAGTCCTAGTTTCAAGGGCATCAGAAAACAAACCCGCTTCCTCTTCCTTATGACACCATTTCACATAGTTATACATAGCTATCATGTCTCCTCTCAATCTTCTCTTCTGCAGGCTAAACATACCCAGTTCTCCTCATAGGGCATGACATCCAGACTTTTGATCATTATAGTCACCCTCCTTTGGATACCTTCCAGTTTGTCAATATCTCTTTTGAACTGTGGTGCCCAGAACTGGATACAGTATTCCAAGTGAGCTCTAAACAAAGCAGAATACAAAAGCACCATGGCTTCCCTCAATCTAGACACTATACTCCTTTTGATGCAGCTTTTTAGCTGCTGCATCACACTGTTGGCTCATGTTCAACTTGTTGTCTACAAAGACTCCAAGATCTTTCTCACATGAAAGACCCATTCTGTATCTTTGCATTTCATTTTTTCTGCCTAAGTGTAATATCCTACATTTACCCTTGTTGTAATTCATTTTGTTAGTTTTGGCCCAGCTCTCTAATTTGTTAAGGTCATTTTGAATTCTGATCCTGTCCTCTGGAGTATTAGCTATCCCTTTTATGGGGGATATGTATATGTGTGTGTATTTTATGTACAGAAAATAATAATAATAATAATAATAATAATAATAATAATAATAATAATAAATGTTATTTATTACCCGCCTCTCCTAATGGCTCAAGCTGGGGTACAACAAATTTAAAAAAACATATGAACATAAAAATACAGTAAATTACTAAATTTCATAGATAAACACACACACTCCAATGATAGCATCAGTCGGCTCTTATGCAAGAGATTTTATCTGCGAAATGGTTGTTAAGGGAATCACAGTGAACTACTGAAGTTTCTAACAATTGGTTCAGAGGGGAGGGTACCTGAGTTAAACCTCTCATCACTCTGAACAGCTCAGCTGGATGTGAATCCGCAGACGCAATGCAGGCAGAGAAGAAAGCTTTCTTTGATGAATATATTGCCACTTTATAGGAGCAAAGGTGCCTATACTGTGCCTTGCTACATAAATGTCGAGTTTTCCGCCATCTGTGCCTAGTTGTCATCCTTCCCATTTCATGTCCTTGAGGATCTCTGTATACCAGGGAGCCTGGTTAATAACGGATTGGAGAGGACGTTTGTGTCAATAGCCCTTGTTAGATTTGATTCCACTTATTGCCTAGGGTTTCAACAGGAACGTCAGTGATACCAGATATAAAACCCTCTAAGACCTCCTGGAGTCTCAAAGGATCCATTATCCTTCAAGAGCAGACTATTTTAGTAAGTCCTCCACCCCTGCAGGGGTAGGTTGTAGCAGTGATGCTAACCCTGACCACAAAGTGATCTGTATGTTCCAAGCTGAAAATCGCATTGAGGGTGTGACCTGCCAAGTGCATTAGTCTGGAAACCAATTTGGGTAGATCCATGTTTGTGATGGATACCATGAACTCCCAAGCAGCACCTGACAAACTGGCCTCCAGTGGTATGTTGAAGTCACCCAGAAGCAAAAGTCTGGGTGACTCCAACAACATCTCCGAGACCAGTTCAGTGAGCTTGGTTAGAAAGTCTGTTAGGCAGCAGGATGGACACTACAATAACAGCATCCCCAGTCTATCCCTTCGATGTGACCCATCTTCCTAGTAGACAATTTGGTCAGATTAAGATCGTCTTTATAGACCACAGCTAACCCAACCCCACTTTCCCTCATCTGCTCACTGATGCAGTACCTAGCTAGAAGGGCCTAGGTTGAACCACTATAATCTCCCAGCCAAGTTTCAGTGAAGCATGCCAGGTCAGCTCCCTCATCTTTGAGGAGATCATGGATAATATGTGTTTTATTTTTCCCTGACCTGGTATTACTTAAGAGCAAAGTGAGGTTTCGTGGGTGACTTGGCTCACTCTCAAAGTTTCCCAGACTGGCAAGGTGATTGGAATGTGAGAGAGATATTAAACATCATTCTCTCCTTCCTCTAAGACATGACCTTGCCATCACCATCTCTCCCTCTGCCCTGTATGACTTGTATTGCCGCTCTGGCTTCAATTTGTATACTATTTAAAAAAACAAAATCAAAATCAAAACAAACTACATACACACAAGCCAATTTGTTGGCCAGTAATATGTTGTTGGCGGCATACCTGGCTGAATGATTCCCTCTCTCGTAATGGCCACCTGGATGGTAGTTGGTGTTGGGTGGGGCCTCCACAACCCCTATTATATCTATTTTTAATATATCTATATTAATTCCCTTATGAGGAATGTATGTGCATACTCACCATTGAGTTTTGCAACCTCTATTTATAGCCTAGATACCCTTAATACTTTAATTACATGTTGCTGAACCCACTTAAATCCACAGACTATAGACTCAATTCCTTGAATTTATTTTAAGGCCATCAAAATTTCATAAGGATGTTATAAACCACTGAACCTCTTACTTTATTAAGATTGAATTCTTGGTTTAATACACATGGCATCAACACAAACATTTTAGTCTGATACTCTATGGGAATTCCCAGTTCTGCTGCTGTTGAATGACAATCTTGAATGTCACAAAGAACAATGCTCTTTAATGTGGCTGATGTCTAGCTTTTTTCCCCTTACTTAAGTGGAAGAGCTCCTCACAGATAGCCTTTATTGTAACGGATGTTATGCTTCAAGGTGAAGTTTCAATTTCCATTGTGTGTACAGGTACAGGAACCAAGTTATAAAATATTTATATCCTGCCCTTATCTGAGGATCATAAGGCAGTGTATAATAAAATCAATTTAGGAAATAAATAACAATAATTTGAAAATACTAAAAATATATTAAATCACTTATCACTTAAAAACCAGACAAAACAAGTAATTCCACACATGCAAAGTGAATAAAATCACCATTAGTCCCCAATACTACTGAAATATCATATTTTTACTTGGAACTGTAATTATAACAGGTTTGGCACTAATCAGACCTCTTGAGGCCCCTTCTACACAACTGTATAAAATCCACATTGCATTGAATTATATTTTTGATCTTTGATATTCCTGTTTTGTTTTTTTAAAAATTGTTTTAGATTTTAGTCTGTTCTTGTAAGCCGCTCCGAGCCCTAGGGGAGTGGCGGCATATAAGTTTAAATAATAAATAAATATTGGGGAGCTTCAAAGGGAGAGGACTTCAACATGAGGAAGCAAGTTGTGTGTTTTGAAACAGTAACTTCTGACAAATCTTGAATCTAGGATACAAAAAATGGGAATCACAACACCGAATAGCTGAAATAGTCAATTTTCAGAAGTTTGACTTCAGTTGGTATTGGTGGTTTCTGTACACATGAAGAATTAAAGGCTAGACAGAAAAATTAAGACTCAACCTTATGACCTTCTCCTAAATAGAACAAAGAGCATGTCATGATTGACTTTTCAATAACTTTAAAGCATAGGTTCTTTTTATTGCAATTTCCAGTGTCCACTACATTTTAGTCTGCTTCCACATAAGATACACTTGAAAAGAGTGCCTTCAGCACCGTTAGTCTCGTTGAATGCCACAAACAACACAAGGAAAAGACAGAATAAAATGCAGAAGTACAAGTAACAGTATGCTGTAATTAAAGAGAAAACAATGTGTTTTTTAAAAAATAGATGCTTGGTGAAAGAAAGCCTAACAATCGAGCAGTCAAGAAAGAACAGAGAAGGAACATTGTGAAACATGTACAGAAAAGTCTACAGGTTGCTGAAAGAGGAACAGAACTCTTCATACTTTCACTGCTTATTTTGCTGGAATTATTGTTGACTTCATTCATACTCCACAATCCAATGGCTTCCCACTTAAGAAGGAAATATGAAAGACATTAGTTCTTGTTGTATTGTACCTGGGTGTACTTTGCCAGGATCTCCTGCGGCCATATGCTGGGAGTGAGAGCAGAAAAGGGGCCACCAGCCGTTGGAGTATAGTTTCCTGTTGGCAAAAACAAATGAAACAAGGCATAATGAAATTGTAAAAAAAAAGGACAGCCACAACAGCATGGCTATTAGCCAATTATAAACCACTTCAGGAGGTTATTCAGCTAGCATGCTTAATTTTCCTCTGGTAATCCGCTTCTGTCACTTCTTTAAAAGCCCTCTCTTAGGCTTAAAATAACCTGGGCCCACTAAAATGTGATAAAATTGACCCCAGGCTCTGAAATGATGTGGACATTTAAAATAATTATAAAGAAAAGGAGGGGATTCATAGCAAACTTTGTTCTTTCCCTACCCCTACAACAAAAATTGGAGTTTCTGTGTAGAATTTATGAGCACGGTATCTACTTGCCAGGCAAATATTTATGTATGACATGGATGCACAAACTATTTCTATACTGATACCTTAAACACCAGTCTTTATTTGTTGTAAGAAAATTATCTTTGTTCTGATCTTTTTGCTCTAATGATCTTTAATTTGTAGACTGCTTAAATGCAAAAATGGTTTTGTCCCTTGATACAACTACCAACCTTTGAAATGGCTCCCCACCAGGCATGTAGCCGGGGGGGCTTGGGGGGCTTCAGCCCCCCCCCCCCAAATTCTCATGGTGGTTCATGAAAAGGCCTTACTGGTGCATTATTTAAACTGTTCTGTTTATTCATATCATGATCTGATCACCCTACTCATATCCCATTTGCATGGGGGTATTGGGGTAACGATACAAAAGGTTTGCTAGGGTAGACCCTCTTTCACTCGGACTCAGCCCCCCCCCCAAATCGAAATCCTGGCTACGGGCCTGCTCCCCACTATACTAATACGAACATTCCACACATTTACATTGATCTTTCACACATCAGTCCCTTTATGAATTAACATAAGTTTAATTACAATGTTTCATAAGAAGAGAACAATAGTGAAAACATGTTCTTTGTCAAAACTATTAAGTGACTGGTATAATAAATCATTCAGATAACTCAACTAACCTATTCTAGAAAGCACGGCCCTTCTCCTTTTACCTGGTCAAACTGGTCTGACAAAAACCTTCTTTTCAGATTGCACATATTGTGAAAACTACTAGTGTGAAGCAATGATCAACCAAAATGTTTTGATTATTGAAAGAGTCCAAATCCTATTCTAATACTAGTACTTCCAAGTCACATATGGATAAGAAGAGGAAAAATAACTGCTCTCTCCAAATAAAAGGGGAAAATCCACTGAATTCATTGGGACCTCTAGAGTAGGAATGCATACTTTGAAAATCCCAATAAGCCTTTCATAAATAAATCCAGCCCTGTCCTGAAGCCAACTAAGTACTTTGTTACTTTTGATTACACACTTCTCAGATTTACAATAGACATCTTAATCCAGTTGTAAAAACATTCCTCTTACGGTGGACAGAAAGGACATCATTGTAGTCTTTATTTCTGTTTTTAGTTTCTTAAAAAATGAATGGGAAAAAAGCAATACAAATAAAATCTAAAAGGTGTGATATAAATAAAAATAAGGATAAATGTTATAACAGTAATCATAATACAGACACCAACACCTGCAATAATAATAGTTATTATTATTATTATTATTATTATTATTATTATTATTATTACTACTACTACTACTACTACTACTACCCTGGTTTATCTCCACCCAAGGGGACTCAAAGCAGCTTAACAAAAGCATTGGCACACAATTTAAAATATACAATTATACAAACATCAAAACAGGATTAATTGCTGACTTGGTCATTACATAAACCCCATTGATTCAAAGGTTCTAGTCTAATTAACAAAGTCAAATTTAATAACCAGTCTTACTGACACAGGAGAGAAAAAGAGAATAAAAAGTATGCAGTCAATATACAAAGTAATTAATTTAATATAATCACTAAGGATTAATTTAAATTAAGTAAACAAAACGGATATGATTAGTAATATCGCTTACCTGACATGGTACCAGTAGAATGTGGTCTCCAGTAAGTCTCTCAGATTTACAGTCTAGATCCAGGCATAATACAGAAAGAAAATTATACAGGATATTTGTAGCTGATTCCCAATTAGTTCCCATTCCACTGTTGCAGTTAAATTAAATCTTTTTTCTCCATTTTATATATATCTTATGTTCCAAGAGATCCTTTGTCAATATTATATGGTAAACTAACATACCAGGAAAGTGCAAAAAGAATCTGCGAACCCCACCTCCTCCAAGATGAACTGAACCACCTCAACTGGGCTCTACAGGCCAATGGATACTCCACCTCAGACATCAGAAGAGCTGCAAGACCAAGAACAAGCCACAAGAGTAAAGATGAAGATCCACCCAGAGGAAAAGTGTTCCTGCCATACATCAAGGGAACCATTGACCGCATAGGGAAGCTGATGAGGAAACACAACATACAAACAATCTACAAACCCACCAAGAAAATCCAACAAATGCTACGTTCAGCAAAGGACAAGAGGGATCCTCTCACCTCTGCAGGAGTCTACCGTATACCATGCAGCTGTGGACAAGTCTACATAGGGACCACCAAATGCAGCGCCCAAACAAGAATCCAGGAACATGAAAGGCACTGCAGACTACTCCAACCAGAGAAATCAGCCATAGCAGAGCACCTGATGAACCAACCTGGACACAGCATTTTATTTGAGAACACAGAAATGCTGGACCACTCTCACAACCACCATGTCAGACTACACAGAGAAGCCATTGAAATCCACAAACATGTGGACAATTTCAACAGAAAGGAGAAACCATGAAAATGAACAAAATCTGGCTACCAGTATTAAAAAATTCTAAAATTAAAACAGCAGAGAGAAAAACAGGCAGGGACATTTAATCACCTTTCAAGAAGAGTTTGCTCCAGGCACAGTCAGCCCATTGTATGCTAATCAAGGTGGTCAGTTGAAAAGATTCACACCTAGCCCACTTACAAAAGCCTTTTGTCTCACCCTGGTCATTCCACAGATATATAAACCCCCTTTTTCCCAGCTCCAGCAGACCTCACCTCTGAGGAAGCTTGCCATAGATGCAGGCGAAACGTCAGGAGAAATGCCTCTAGAACACGGCCATATAGCCCGAAAAAACCCACAAGAATTGAGTGATTCCGGCCATGAAAGCCTTCGACAATACATACCAGGAAAGGATACATAGTATGTTATTATGTACTGTATGTGTTTTATTTTGATTTGCTGTAATTGTTGGGCTTGGCCTCATGTTAGCTGCCCCAAGTCCCCTCTGGGGAGATGGCGGCAGGGTATAAATAAAGTTTTTTTTTATTATTATTATGTTAAGGATAGAGTGAGCTTAATAAATGTCCACCCAGATACTTCTCATGGTGACAGACATTCATCAAATGCTAAGTAGTACATCTGCGGTTTTAGGGCTTGATAGTTCCTGGTCATGAATGTTATAACTGGAAATCAGGCAAGTTTTAAAAAATCTTCCTTAGAACTCAAATTTTCATGCATCAAACCCTCCATGAATAAAATGTGTAATATAATTGTAACTATCCTGCTTTGGGTCTTGGGTTACAATTCTTTCTACGATGTAGCCATTCCTGTTGCATCACATGACATGTGCAGAATGGAAACACTCAATCATAAAGTCAACCAGCTGCACTCCTGATAAATTAAACTATAATCTCTAATAAGTCTCAGCCAGTGCAGCCAATCTGGGTTTTACAGCAGAGGTGTCAAAAATATTTTCACCAAGAGCCACACCAACCTTCGAAGGGCCAACTGTAATTGTAGGACCAGTTTGCCTATCTTTACTCAAGATCTTCAAAATTGTTTTTTTTTTGGGGGGGGGGGGATTTTATAATGGATTTAAAAAGACAGCACAAATATAATAACTTTACCGCTGCGTCTTGCATTATATTGATTAAGTCTAAGTTGTATATTAACAGCATTCTAGTAGGCCTCTGCATTTCTACACTAGACTTCTTCACACATTTAAAACACTGATGAAAGTCATTGGTGAAAAGGGTATGGTTGTGTTTGGGCAGTCATCCACTCTGACAACAGCCATCACTGTGAGTGGAAGATCTCCTCCCTTTAGCAATAGATGTTCCACCAGCAGAAATCAACAATACTACCCTGTAGAAATTAAATCATAGAATCATAGAATCAAAGAGTTGGAAGAGACCTCATGGGCCATCCAGTCCAACCCCCTGCCAAGAAGCAGGAATATTGCATTCAAATCACCCCTAACAGATGGCCATCCAGCCTCTGCTTAAAAGCTTCCAAAGAAGGAGCCTCCACCACACTCCGGGGCAGAGAGTTCCACTGCTGAACGCTCTCACAGTCAGGAAGTTCTTCCTAATGTTCAGATGGAATCTCCTCTCTTGTAGTTTGAAGCCATTGTTCCGCGTCCTAGTCTCCAAGGAAGCAGAAAACAAGCTTGCTCCCTCCTCCCTGTGGCTTCCTCTCACATCTTTATACATGGCTATCATATCTCCTCTCAGCCTTCTCTTCTTCAGGCTAAACATGCCCAGTTCCCTAAGCCGCTCCTCATAGGGCTTGTTCTCCAGACCCTTGATCATTTTAGTCGCCCTCCTCTGGACACATTCCAGCTTGTCACTATCTCTCTTGAATTGTGGTGCCCAGAACTGGACACAATATTCCAGATGTGGTCTAACCAAAGCAGAATAGAGGGGTAGCATTACTTCCCTAGATCTAGACACTATGCTCCTATTGATGCAGGCCAAAATCCCATTGGCTTTTTTTGCCGCCACATCACATTGTTGGCTCATGGGATTTCCAACACATTTTCTTTGGCAGCTGTTAGTATATGTTGTGTGATATGACTACAAACCTGATAAAGTAGGTTTCAGAGATTCACTTCTTGCTTTCCTTCTGAGATAACATTGCTGGGATTTAAGTGACTCGAGTTCTCAAGTTGAGAGATTGCTGCAAAAAACAAGATTGCACAAGATGAACAGTGACAATTTGTTTTTCCCCCATCTGTTTCAGACCCAGCAGGGAGAAGTATAAGGTTCACAATCAAATTGCTATTTTGATATTGCAAATATTATGGATGAGACAGCATGCAGCAAAAAGACAAATAACAGAAACATTTTGAAAAGTCTATTGTCCTATAGTATCAAGTTATGACTAGCAAATGTACTGTAGCATACGATTTCCTATGGATCTCAACTCGCCAGGTCCTTTCTACAACAGGAAAAAGCAATAGTTAGATAGGATCAGGACAGTTTTCTTTATTGACTTGAATAATGGACAACTAAAACTAACACGTTGTTTGATAATCAGGCCTGATTCCTTCTATGTGTCCCTGGGCACAGCTGACTAAACATATTCGTAAGTAGCTGAATATTAGATAAACTGAACCAGGTGGGCAGGTTTTTCTTGCCTTTGGTTGCTATGGAACATTCCTTGGCAACAGCTTTCAATACTTGACCAAGAGAAGGAGAGATGCATGCAAATACATCGCTGCTAGAGGAAACTAGCACAGGAAGGTGGGCTGAAATCACACCTGGTGACCTGGAGGAACTAGAACTCTAATTCAGTTAGGTATCTAGGAATCTAACACAAACTCACTACATTCCTTTTTCACGCCAAGCTATTCTTTGGTACTCAAGGTTGTCAATCTCCCTGAACAACCAATAAAATTGTGGCACTTCCACTCATTCCTCTTTTAAACAAAACACACACACACACAAACATCAGTCCACTGTGAAGAAAATTGTTGGATGCAGAAATGTGAAGGCCTGGATTTAAAAGAACATCCTAAATTAGGAGGAGGTCACAATTATATAGTATTTTCTTTTAGAATAATGAATAAAGTGAAGTTGTTCACATATCTACTGCCTCAAACTCATATCTAAAAACTATGTAAAGAGTAAGATTTGTGTAAGAATTAGAGAAGACTAAATACTCTCTCATTAACTTGGGGGAGGGGGGGAGGAGGCATTTTCCCCTCCACGCTTTTAAATTTGGGAGGAAAGCTAACACTTTTAATTGGATGTCACTTTGAAGGTCCAATTATAAAAGAACCACAGAATCAACATAATTTACATAAGTATTGACTCACTACTCAACAACTGATTCAATAGGACAGCCTACCTGTGTGACCGCATCTCCGTCTACGAACCCACGCGCTCACTACGCTCATCTGGAGAGGCCCTGCTCGTGATCCCGCCTGCATCGCAAGCACGTTTGGTGGGGACATGAGACAGGGCCCTCTCCGTGGTGGCCCCCCGTCTCTGGAACACTCTCCCCAAAGATCTTAGACAGGCCCCCACATTGGCAGTCTTCAGAAAGAACTTGAAGACCTGGCTGTTCCCATGTGCCTTCCCCGATTAGGAAATCTCCAATACCAAGTCCCAGAAGCACTTTATTAGAATTAAGATTGCCGCACACTGCACACTGCACTTGTCCTATAACCCTTACATATCACCTGTCACATCAGCACTTTTAATCCTGTACCCTTTACTCTGGCCCGGCCTAGTTTTATTGTGTTTGATGTATTGTTTATTGCTTGGGGTTTTGTTGTTTTAATATTGCTTTAATTGTTTTAATTTGCTTTAGGTGTATTGTTATGTTGTGTATTGAGGCCTTGGCCTTTGTAAGCCACATCGAGTCCTTCGGGAGGTGCTAGCGGGGTACAAATAAAGTTTAATAATAATAATAATAATAATAATAATAATAATAATTTGCTTGGGTCTACCAACTGGATTTATTACAAGGGCTGTTTACTTATTTCTGTGTCGTCACACACATAAATGTAGTCCCATTCAGGCAAAAAAGTGCTCCAAGCAAGTCATACTTTCTTCAAACAGCTGAGATTCAAAGACAGAGAGAACATATTTTCCAAAAATATTGGAGGTAAATGACACCAGCTCCAGAGTTGCTGTACATTCCTCTGTAATAGTGGTTCCCAACCTTTTATTGACCAGGAACCACTCGACCAGGAACCACTCCCCAACAAAATAGCTACACAATACAGTGAAGCATCTGACAAAGGCATGTTAAAATCCTCATTCTTTTAGTACCTCATGAAGCTAGCTAGGTCTACACAACCAATATAAATACTGTAATATGATCCACGGACTTGTAAAAACTCAGCTAAGTTTCATACTGCAAAAGGTAGGATTGTGCAATTAAAGGAAACATTAAAGCCACACCCTCTGCTTAGATTTATCCCTTCTTCCAGGAATGTATTCTGCTTTATTGGTTTAACATTGGTTTATATGCTGAACTATTTTAGTCTATGCTGCTGGTCTTATCTTGATTTAATGTTCTATTTCTTTGGTCATTGTTTTACAGCATTACTGTTGTATTGTGTGTTTTAAACAGCTGGCACATAACTCAGAGGATATTAAAATAATTATTAACTAAGATTCTCTATGCAATTAAGAAATTAACTATATTTACAGGAAAAGGATATACAGTACAACACAGCAATTACAGGTTCTGGGGTAAAGACAAGAATCAGAAATGTATTAATTCTGTTCTGATTTAGAAAACCAAAACATTTTGAAGTCTTTGTGAGAGTGGCAAACTACAGCAAAGATTTCCTGTACAGATCAGGCAACATGTGCAAACTGATTGTGTCTTATGAGTTAATCTTAAAGTGTAACATCACAAAAGGAATGTTACCAAGTGAAACAGTGTCTCTTTGTCAATAAAATTAAGCTTCGGGATCCCTTCAAGACTAACAAATTCATTCAAGTACAAACTTTTTGGACTAGAGATCAGTTCATCAGGTGTGAAATTTCACATCTTTTGATCACATATATGCCAATATTAATTTGATAGTCTTAAAGGTAACAAGAGGGTTTTTTTTGCTGTAACAAACTAATATAGTTCTCTCTCTAAGGGTCAGGATTTTTCTGTTAGACCTAAAAGCCTTATTTTTGAGGAGGTACAGTTGATGCTCAACACCATTCAGCAGCAATCTTATGGTGGAGCTGAAATACGAACTACAAGCTTCCTTTCTAGTTAAGGTTAAACAGGAGACTTGTTATAGCTTTCAAAGCCATTTCTCTAAGACAAGAAAGGTCTTTGTAATCTTCATATTTCTGATGGAACTGCTTGACATTAAAACAAATCTGGCAAGCTGTTAAGTCTTACATTGCCAAGACAAGCGAATTGTGTAATCTGTTTTTTCTTCTTCTTCTTTGCCCTAATGCAAAGAAAGCAATTCCAGTTTTGGAACTGACCTAATAGGTAGCAAGCTGTGTCTCTATTAAATCAGAGACTTCTTTAAATTAATCTTGAAGTTCTAAACCAGCATAGAACTTGGAAAATATTTCCAGTTTCTATGCAACACATAGTCTTGTATACAACATCAAGGTGCTTAGTACCAGCACTGAAGGCTCAGACAAGGATTATTTCAAAGTAACATCAAGGTAACAGTTCTTTGAAATGCAAAGTACCCATTGACACTCAAAGATATGTGGTAAACAAAAACCCTTGCTTCCATCCCAAATTTTTACTCATTATTTTGAAGATATATGCATTCCTTGGGTCAAAACCATAGATTTTATATTCCCTCAAGCATCACAACTGCTTATGCAAGATAAAAATTCTGAAAACCAAAATAAAAAATGGAAAAGTTGACATTCACTTATCTCTCTTAGTGAGAAATACCAGACACACACCACAGATTCAACTCAGATTAATATATATTCACTCTGAAATAAATATATTTGGAGTCACTGGAGTTTACCAGATGTACAGAAATGTGTTAGTTTTTTCTTGTTGTTCATTTGTTCAGTCGTTTCCGACTCTTCATGACCTCATGGACCAGCCCATGCCAGAGATCCCTGTCGGCTGTCACCACTCCCAGCTCCTTCAAGGTCAATCCAGTCACTTCAAGGGTCCCATCCATCCATCTTGCCCTTAGTCGGCCCCTCTTCCTTTTTCCTTCCATTTTCCCCAGCATAATTGTCTTCTCTAAGCTTTCCTTTCTTCTCATGATGTGGCCAAAGTACTTCATCTTTGCCTCTACTATCCTTCCCTCCAATGAGCAGTCGGGCTTTATTTCCTGAAGTATGGACTGGTTGAATCTTCTGGTGGTCCAAGGCACTCTCAGAACTTTCCTCCAACACCACAGTTCAAAGGCATCTATCTTCCTTTGCTCAGCCTTCCCTAAGGTCCAGCTCTCACATCCATAGGTGACTATGGGGAACACCATCGCTTTAACTATACGGGTCTTCGTTGCCAGTGTGATGTCTCTACTCTTCACTATTTTATCGAGATTGGACACTACTCTCCTCCCAAGAAGTAAGCATCTGCTGATTTCTTGGCTGCAGTCTGCGTCTGCAGCAATCTTTGCACCTAGAAATACAAAGTCTGTCACTGCCTCCATGTTTTCTCCCTCTATTTCCCAGTTATCAATCATTCTTGTTGCCACAATCTTGTTTTTTTATGTTTAGCTGCAACCCAGCTTTTGCACTTTCTTCTTTCACCTTGATTAGAAAGCTCCTCAACTCCTCCTCGTTTTTGGCCATCAAAGTGGTGTCATCTGCATATCTAAAGTTGTTAATGTTTCTTCTAGCAATTTTCACCCCAGCCTTGCATTCCTCAAGCCCTGCACATCGCATGATGTGTTCTGCATACAAGTTGAATAGGTTGGGTGAGAGTATACAACCCTGCCATACGCCTTTCCTAGTCTTGAACCAGTCTGTTGTTCTATGGTCAGTTCTTACTGTTGCTACTTGGTCCTTATACAGATTCTTCAGGAGAGAGACAAGATGATATGGTATGCCCATACCACCAAGAACTTGCCACAAATTATTATGATCCACACAGTCAAATGCTTTAGAATAGTCAATGAAACAGAAATAGATGTTTTTCTGAAACTCCCTGCCTTTCTCCATTATCCAGCAGATATTGGCAATTTGGTCTCTCGTTCCTCTGCCTTTTCTAAAGAAATGTATCCAATA